CACACACACATATATATATATATATATATATATATATATATATATATATATATATATATAAAGAATGTATCAAAAATACTTTTACTCTGAATCATTCTGTGGATGACTATATATATATGTTCTCGGGAAATCCGGTTCAGCTCTCTGGAGAAAATCGCGATATTTTTTTAAAACAGTGGCTCCTATTTTAGCATTGAAACCGTCATTATCGCATTATAACCGTCACAATTAAAAATTGATAATAATAATAATAATAATAATAATAATAATAAAAAATAAAAATAATATTAATAATAATAATAATAATATAATATTTGACATCAATATAATGAAATAACATAAAGTAAAAAATTAAAGGAATGTAAATAAAAATGAAATTTAAGAAAATTAAAATTTATAAAAATACACATCCAAAATATTAATTAAACTAAGAGATAAATAAAGGACCATTTTAGTAACTAAAAAAAAAAAATATACGAGAGTATATATATATATATATATATATATATGTCGAGTTTTTTCCTTTTTCTCACTTTTTCCGTTTTTTTTTTTTCCTTTTCTTTGTGTCTGAATGAACTCACCTCCGTTTATTAATGAAAAATTGGTCTGAAGAGATGGACGCGAGGTCAACGAAATAAATTTATAACCCGACCTGATAGATTTTTAAGGATTCTGTATTATATATATATATATATATATATATATATATGGTGCATCAAAAATACTTTTACAAATTTAGGTGGTGAGTTCCTCACGACAAAACAAGGACAAATGTCCATATAAACATATATCCGCAAATCCTTCGTTTTTGTAATTTTATGTGTAAAGAAAGTTGACGGTAGACAGCATTGTGTGGCCATTTAGACTAGGTAACATTGGTCACTCGTGTACATGTGAGGCTAGTCTGTTTTCAACGGTTAACGTCTGTAGCTAGTTAACTGAGAAGTGTTCCGTTTAACAAAGGCAGAAAATTCATATTGTGAGCAGGGAGATCTGATTTTTACATGCGGTCGCGGAAATGGTAATGGACGCGAGGCTGCACGGCTGTATGAGATTGCATTTGCAGACCGAATCATCCAGCCTTTATCGTCACGTTGCTGAGATAAGATCCGTGGCTCCAGGAAATATGGACTTAAGAAAGACTAAGATCAGCTCGTACGATTGACAACGAAGAACACATTCTACAGGCTGTCGGAGATGTTCCAGGTATCAGCACACGTCAACTTTGTATGTTTATTGGGCTTTTGTTCTTGTTTTGGTGCGAATAACACACTCCAAAATGTTGTTAATGTATTTTTGATACATCATATATATATATATATATATATATATATATATATATATATATATAAAAGTGAACATTGAATTCAACACTCAGACGCGACAGGCTATTTCATGCTGACGATTGCGTCAAGCTGACGATTGCTTCAGCATGAAACAACCTGTTGCCTCAGTGTTGAATTCAATGTTCACTTTTTATATTTATATTTACATACGCTCAATCTCTTATATTGAGCACTTTATTCTATAAATATAGCACACCTAAAACTATATATATATATATATATATATATATATATATATATATATATATATATATCCTAATGAGCCAATTACTACTTATCCAGGTTTCACCACATGGGATCTAAATTCTTCCTGATGATCCCATGTGGTAAAATCTAGATAGGTAGTACCTGGCTCATTAGGATTTATTTATTTTACTTTTGCTCTACTCTCGTATAGGGCACTCTTCATTTTAACTTATTACTCGCTGTTTTTTTTTTGTTTTTTTTTTTACCGGAGATTTAAGGTACTGGGCGATTTCTTTCGGACTGTTCGGAGGTTTCTCATGCTTTTATTTTTCCATTTTTCCTCGGATACTAATTTATTTGAAAATTGTGCTCTCTATTTTTTCACCCACCGAGTTTAAATACATTTCAAATATATATATATATATATATATATATATATATATATATATATATATATATATAGTATTTTTTCAAGTAGAAGCACTTTCTCTCTCTGCTGTAAGGATGACTTCCTGCCAATCAAAAAAGTTTAGTAATATATCAATATAAATGTCGATGTGAGATCGACTATGTGGTCAAGATCATGCAGCGTTTGGATGTTAGGATCGTCAAGCATGGGCCAGGTGCGTAGACACAAGCCCGTGACATCCGGGTGTTCAGAGTCTCATGACTCTGCGATAGGTTAGCACCTTTTAAATTCTGTTGCTTGCAGCACGAATTATTCTTCTGAGTTCTTTTCTGTCTTGCACAGGGCACAGACCAGACTCTATTTAGACATCCTTTAGTCTGTTACTATTATTATGCAACGTCCTGCCCTGTGTCGACAACGAGAATTGTCCCTATTCGTGGAACCAGTTGTCTAGCTGGGAAAAAAAACTGGTATCTTTTTTCCCAACGCCCTCCTCCAGCTTGGTAATTTATATTTAAATATCAGTTGTTGGTAAGGATTTTTCTTATCAACGACTTTGTTTCATATTGCCGATGATTTTATTTCTGAAGAAGTGTCGGTGGAAAGATGTCTTAAATCTTAAAACGTGATATATATGGGGTGTCCATAAAGTGCGTGTGCACTTTATAAAATTTTGAACTTTATTTGTATTTGCGATAGAAATAATTTGTAAAAAGGATTAGAAAGAAGTAAATCTATATTTTTAAAAGTTTTATTGAAATTTTATTTAAGTTTCCACATGTCCTCCATCATTAGCAATACAAAGGGTAATACGATTTTGCAGTTCACGGAAAACATTTGCCAACTGATTTACAGTAATGCCTGAAATCACATCAGTTATTTTAGCTATACTTAAAACTAGGTACATTAAACTTTATAACATTTTTTACAGATTATTTCTATCGCAAATACAAATAAAGTTATAAATTTACGAAATTTATGGGCACCCAGCATATATATATATATATATATATATATATATATATATATATATATATATATATAATTAGAAGCCAAAATACCTAAGGTTTTTCCAGACGAGTATATCTATCTATCTATCTATCTATCTATCTATCTATATATATATATATATATATATATATATATATATATATATATATATCGTTTAAGGGCAGCAGAACATTATTCAAAACATAAATTGTTAAATATAACAGACAACGAATGTCTATTATGTTTTATCATGAGCCGTTCCAAACGTCGTATGGCTTTAGTTTCTAGAGAAAATAAAGACTAAAGCTGTTCAACATTTGGCTATTTCTTTATTATATTGATCTTCGATCTAAGGTTTCGGCTCACATGAGCCATCATCAGAGAGGTTATATGCACATTCCAACAGAGATGTTCACCGTCAAAGATGACATTCTGTTCTGTTTGTTTACATAGAAGTTTTCTATGCGACGAAAACGGTCGGGGAATATCAGACGCGGGTCGTAAATTCATAGTGTGGTTCTTTGACATCGTACATGACCACGTGAAAGAAAGAAATGTTATCAACAGACCCCACCCAACAAAACTACATTTCAAACCAGTCACAGCATATTACAATGCATTTAAACATATTCTTCTGTTGATTATATATCTTTATTTCTCTCTTTACCGCATCAGCAATCTCCACTGAAACGTGTTTGTATATATATATATATATATATGTGTACACACAAACACCGTTTGTCGACCCTGATGAACCTTATAAGTGAAACCTAGGTAGGTTTGCCTAGCTCTTTAGGTTCATATTTAGGTTTGCTCTACTTAGCGTATTGAGCACTTTATGCAGGTACTTTTGCTTTACTCGTTTTGGAGTTATTTTTTCTTTGGACACTAAGCTTGGATTCTGGACGATTGTTTTCGCCTCAATTCCATGGTTTTAGTTCTTTTTTATCCCTTATTTTCCTTTGGTCATTGATTTGTTCAATTACAAGTCAAAATACCTAAGGTTTTTCTAGACGAGTATATATATATATATATATGTATATATATATATATAGATAGATAGATAGATAGATAGATAGATAAACCTAGTGAGCCAGACAAACCTACCCAGGTTTCACTTAAGCGGATCGTCAGGGAAAGCTTAGGTGAAACCTTGGTAAGTTTGTCTGGCTCACTAGGTTTATCTAGGTCTACTCTACGGTTGTATTGAGCTCTTTTGTTAGTTGTTTACTCGTGTCGGGGTTTTTTCTTTGGACTTTAAACCTGTATCTGTGCGATTTTTTTCGACAGACTTTCATGTTTCTAGCTCTTTCTTTTTTTAAAACCTTTTTTTTTTTTCGAGATTGATTTGATTATTGGCAAATCAAAAATTCCAAGGTTTCTCGAAACGAGTATAGTTACCTATATATATATATATATATATATATATATATATATATATATATATATATATATATATATATAGTTATCAAGTATGCTCCAGTTATCAAGTATCGTCATGGAATTAGTCAGTGACCATTTGAAAGAGGTTTTTCTAAGTTCTGAATGACTGCTACAGGGGCGCTGCGTCGTATCTCCGGCAACATTCAGTTGTTTGTTTACCTCCAGAATGGCGAGTCCTCAGCAAAAGGCGTTCTGCGTTCTCGAGTTCGCGAAAACAAATATGGTTGTCCCCGGTGCAGCGTGATTTTCGAAGGGATATTCAACATTAATCCGCCCTCTACTAAGCACATTCCACGGTGGTTTAATCAGAAAATGAACTAACTGGGTAGCTGTGCGTGCTTTTATCTAGCCCTTTTACCATTAATCTGTCTTGTGAGCATCAATTTTTCCGAACCCTCTTTCCTCATTATATGCCACACAAATTTCAACTATCCCTTCCTGATGTAAAACATAAATGTCCTTTTCGTCGCCATTGTCTCTACAACTTCATCGTTGGTCACATGTTCGGTCTATGGCATTGTCAGCATATTTCTCGCCGAAGTAACAACAAGGAAAACTAATCAGAACAATTGCCATTAAAATATTTATAGAAAAGGTACAGGGAAGCTACGTTACTATGGTGTGAGTGTGTGAAGCCGATATCTATCTATCTATCTATCTATCTATCTATCTATCTATCTATCTATCTATCTATCTGTGTCTGTGTGTGTGTGTGTGTGTGTGTGTGTGTGTGTGTGTGTGTGTATTTAGTCAGCAAATTCTATTTTGGGCATCTCCGATTGAATAAATTACAGACATTATGTCTGCTAATTTTTAACAAAATCCGTTCGTACCCACGAATAACTTTTCGTGTACTGATGAGAGAAATGTGCTGTAACTGTTTAAATTTCTTTTATTTTAATTTCCCAAGTACTTTCGGTCTTCTTCTAAGATCATCTTCAGGGGTGCAAGTGGTATAAAACTACGTGTTGTTCATTAGTACAAGTATTTATACAAAATTGAGCGTTGTTATCCATTACCGTAATTAGTTGGGAAATGAAAATAAAATAAATTGGCCTCCCGAAAGTGCTAGACATAACCTATTCCAACCTATGTGAAGAAAGTGCCAAACATGGTTATAAAAGACTTATATCATTGATTACCTTTCTATATATCTGTTGAGGGGTTCTCCCCTTTTTACGCAAATGGACTCACCCAGTGTATACATATACTGCTAGTGAATACCCGGGAGAAGAACCAAGAAGAACGAAAAAGAAGGGCGAACCAGGACGAACCAGGACGAACGTAACGACCAAGACTCACAGTGAGCAAGCACGTAGACTCAGTAAGAAGTCATACAGTGATACGTCGATACGAAAGACTGTATATATATATATTTTGCTACTAACCCGCATTCTTGGAACTACTAACCTGCATTACCAGTTTGTATTATTACATTAATACATTTATTTTCCTATATTCCTTCTTGGCGTTTGTTATTTATTGGTACCGGATTTAATCTCGAAATCCACAACAATATCACATGTAGCAAAGAAGTCGCGGACTAATTAGGACTTTGTGCTGTTACAAGATTGGCCTCTACAAAGTGTTAACCATAACATATTAAAACCTATGTGAAGAGAGTGTCAAACATGGTATAAAAAGCTTGTATCATTGATCACCTTTCTATTTATCACGTGTAACAAAGAAGTCTTGGACTGATGAAAACTTTGCGCTAGTACAAGTTTAGCCTGTCCAAATTTATGACCATAACATATTCAAACCTATGTGGAGAGTGTGGCAAACTCGATCATATAACAGAAAGATTTTTTTTTCTCTTATGAGGATTTTTAAGTTGTATTCTTTCATCACACGTCGAGTTCATACAGTCGTTCTTACCAGTTGAAGCCATGCTAATTACGATTTTTAATGCTCCTAAATGTATCGATTCATTTTCCTGAATTTTAGTTTTTTTTCCGCATTCAATAAAAGCAATTAATACTACTTTACATCCAGTGGCTCATATCTTTTTTTTATGCTTTTAGTATTACGATGCCTTCATGTTTATATTTATACACGTACTTGGATTCATAGGAAAGCGACATTTTGAATTTTGAGTACTGAATGACCAAAGATGTTACACCAGAAAGTAAATTGTAAAATATTTAACAGTTCTCAGCAAAAATTACCCAAATTGATTTTTCGGCTAAAGTGTTCTCGTTTTTCCTGTCCCGCATTAGATATATATATCTCAGAGCCTTGAAAGTGTTAGAAGAGAGGGGACTGGAAGGGCTATCAAATTTTAAGAGATGCCACGAGACGGTTGGGAGAGAAAAAAAAAATGATTCAGTGCGCCCCTCAGTAAAGCACTTACCCATAATTACCTTATTTGTATAGGTAGTAGCCGAGAGAAAAATGTTATCCATATTGTAAACATTAACAACAGCTAAGATGAAGAAAATCGTAATACTAAAAAAAAAAAGACAAGAAAAAAAAGTACTAAAACGGATTTTAACATTGATTTTCTCGGCTCAAATATCAGAGATCAGACGAGACTATTCTGTTTGTCGTCACCAAAAGCTAACGCCCATAATTTACAAGTACGGAAGCTTAAAAAGAAACAAAAAAAAAAATAAGTCGCATTTCATAATACTCGTCGTTAAAGGTCCGAATTGCTTTTTTTTTTTTTTGGTGTGTGTTTGGAGGGGTGTAACCGCGGACACGAAATTAAATATCCTACCCCTAATCTCTAAACCTGGCAAAAGATTTACGAAATAAACTTAGAACACTATTTGCTTCATTCTGACTATTGTCCTCATCTTTGTCGCAATATCTATTACAACGTTGTACGCTTCGGACTTCTTCAGGTGGTTGGAATGTCGAACTGAACACTTTATTTTGCTCACTATTTTTATTTACTTTCACTCCATGTGTCGTGTTTTATTGGATGTCTGTTATCTCCTGTTAATTCCCTCTGCCTTAACCGGGTATTGAACTCATACTCTTCGGATCCTGTCACGCCTTTATCTACTGTGCCATGTGTCTTTGAGGATATCTGTGCATGAATTGCTGGGTATCATAAACCTAATGTCTTCAGCAACCATTTTTACCAGTGCTCATATTGCAATTTTTGCTGTTATCATGACAATTTTTTACCAGAGCTCATATTGCAATTTTTGCTGTTATCATGACAATTTTTTACCAGAGCTCATATTGCAATTTTTGTTGTTATTATCGCTTTTCTCTGGCATTCCTTATTACTGGTTCCCGGAACGTTGTAATAAATATGGCGACAAAGATGAGGACAATAGTCCGAATAATGTAAATAGTGTACATAATACCTCATCTCAGAAATGTAGACAGATACTGAAAGGCCGAAACGTTGTAATAAATATGGCAACAAAGATGAGGACAATAGTCCGAATGATGTAAATAGTGTACATAATACCTCATCTCAGAAATATAGACAGATACTGAAAGGCCGAAACGTTGTAATAAATATGGCAACAAAGATGAGGACAATAGTCCGAATGATGTAAATAGTGTACATAATACCTCATCTCAGAAATATAGACAGATACTGAAAGGCCGAAACGTTGTAATAAATATGGCGACAAAGATGAGGACAATAGTCCGAATAATGTAAATAGTGTACATAATACCTCATCTCAGAAATGTAGACAGATACTGAAAGGCCGAAACGTTGTAATAAATATGGCGACAAAGATGAGGACAATAGTCCGAATAATGTAAATAGTGTACATAATACCTCATCTCAGAAATGTAGACAGATACTGAAAGGCCGAAACGTTGTAATAAATATGGCGACAAAGATGAGGACAATAGTCCGAATAATGTAAATAGTGTACATAATACCTCATCTCAGAAATGTAGACAGATACTGAAAGGCCGAAACGTTGTAATAAATATGGCAACAAAGATGAGGACAATAGTCCGAATGATGTAAATAGTGTACATAATACCTCATCTCAGAAATATAGACAGATACTGAAAGGCCGAAACGTTGTAATAAATATGGCAACAAAGATGAGGACAATAGTCCGAATGATGTAAATAGTGTACATAATACCTCATCTCAGAAATATAGACAGATACTGAAAGGCCGAAACGTTGTAATAAATATGGCGACAAAGATGAGGACAATAGTCTGAATAATGTAAATAGTGTACATAATACCTCATCTCAGAAATGTAGACAGATACTGAAAGGCCGAAACGTTGTAATAAATATGGCAACAAAGATGAGGACAATAGTCCGAATGATGTAAATAGTGTACATAATACCTCATCTCAGAAATATAGACAGATACTGAAAGGCGGAAACGTTGTAATAAATATGGCAACAAAGATGAGGACAATAGTCCGAATGATGTAAATAGTGTACATAATACCTCATCTCAGAAATATAGACAGATACTGAAAGGCCGAAACGTTGTAATAAATATGGCGACAAAGATGAGGACAATAGTCCGAATAATGTAAATAGTGTACATAATACCTCATCTCAGAAATATAGACAGATACTGAAAGGTCGAAACGTTGTAATAAATATGGCGACAAAGATGAGGACAATAGTCCGAATAATGTAAATAGTGTACATAATACCTCATCTCAGAAATATAGACAGATACTGAAAGGCGGAAACGTTGTAATAAATATGGCGACAAAGATGAGGACAATAGTCCGAATAATGTAAATAGTGTACATAATACCTCATCTCAGAAATATAGACAGATACTGAAAGGCGGAAACGTTGTAATAAATATGGCGACAAAGATGAGGACAATAGTCCGAATAATGTAAATAGTGTACATAATACCTCATCTCAGAAATGTAGACAGATACTGAAAGGCCGAAACGTTGTAATAAATATGGCGACAAAGATGAGGACAATAGGCGGAATAATGTAAATAGTGTACATAATACCTCATCTCAGAAATATAGACAGATACTGAAAGGCCGAAACGTTGTAATAAATATGGCGACAAAGATGAGGACAATAGTCCGAATAATGTAAATAGTGTACATAATACCTCATCTCAGAAATATAGACAGATACTGAAAGGCGGAAACGTTGTAATAAATATGGCGACAAAGATGAGGACAATAGTCCGAATAATGTAAATAGTGTACATAATACCTCATCTCAGAAATGTAGACAGATACTGAAAGGCCGAAACGTTGTAATAAATATGGCGACAAAGATGAGGACAATAGGCGGAATAATGTAAATAGTGTACATAATACCTCATCTCAGAAATATAGACAGATACTGAAAGGCCGAAACGTTGTAATAAATATGTCGACAAAGATGAGGACAATAGGCGGAATAATGTAAATAGTGTACATAATACCTCATCTCAGAAATATAGACAGATACTGAAAGGCCGAAACGTTGTAATAAATATGGCGACAAAGATGAGGACAATAGTCCGAATAATGTAAATAGTGTACATAATACCTCATCTCAGAAATATAGACAGATACTGAAAGGCGGAAACGTTGTAATAAATATGGCGACAAAGATGAGGACAATAGTCCGAATAATGTAAATAGTGTACATAATACCTCATCTCAGAAATATAGACAGATACTGAAAGGCCGAAACGTTGTAATAAATATGGCGACAAAGATGAGGACAATAGTCCGAATAATGTAAATAGTGTACATAATACCTCATCTCAGAAATGTAGACAGAT